AGCATACTGGTGACAACTACCTTAAAAAAGACTTAAAGTCTCTGGAAATTGTCTTAAGGGCATACAACAAATAAAGAAGTATTTATTCAAGAAGACTATACTAAATCTTGGTAAGAACAGTGAGAGTCTGTGACATCTGAGCTATGGCCTACAACCTCTGCCTCACCTCACCCCCACCCAGCTCAGCTTGGCAGAAGCTCCATTCCTATCAGATTTGGCCCAAGAGACAGGACTCCCTCCCAGTCAGCTCCCAATCAAAGCAGTGTATATTTCAATCAGAGGCACAGGACATCAGCATTTCACATCTTCTCCAACTCTGCGTTTAAGAGGCTAAATTCCTACTGAGTGTAAGTGAGAGGTGAAGGCTTCCCTTCTTCCACCCAGTTCCCACTCACAGGATGAGGCTCTACCCCAGTGAAAACACTGGATTCCAAAATGCTTTCACCCCACAAGTTCACTCGGAGAGCAGTCATTCTCTCTGGGAGAACCAAGCAAAGAAGATTGCAAGTTACTACTCCACCCAGTGCCCAGAATATGGCTCAGATATTTTGCTCAGGTCGGGAGGTGTGACACAAGAACAGAACTGCAAATCTTTCACCAAAGGGACTAATTTTATTTAAAAGAGTGTGGGGGAAGTTCAAGCATAAGAGCATTTTCAAAAACCATGGCTCCTCTTAATTAAGAGCAACAAGCTAAATCATAGGCCAGCTGTTTTACCAGAGAGAATCAGGCAAAAAGGCATCTAATAAGATCCCGCCTGGGATCAGAACACACTTTAAAGACTGGCCCACAAATTATCCCTGTCTGAAATTAATTGGAATAGACGGTGGAGAAATTTATGCCCCAGGCATAATAAAAAAATAATTGAGCAACCAGTCAGCAATCACTGGAGACTAACAACTGGGTGTAATACCAAATGAAGCACACAGCTTAACAGAGACCAGTGGAAGCGATGGTCAAAGGGAAGCATGCTAAAACTGTGTTATTGCAGGGTAGCTGTGTGCGCACTAAAGCTACACCTTCTGAGGAGTGACACCAAAGGCTTTGCACTGTAGGGGAAAAGAGACATTATTAAAATAGTCTGTCCAAATCCTTAAACAAACACACAAACAAAAACAACAAAAAGACCTGGATAGGGGGTGAGGGAAATCATTGTCCACGTTTGCTACAATGTATTCCCTAAAATGTCATTTTTAACAACAACAACAACAACAACAAATACGAGACATACAAAGACACAGGAACGTGTGATCTATCTACTGGGGAGAAAGGAAGCAACAGAAATGGCCTCTGAAAGGTCAGACTGAACAAAGTCTTTGTTCAGACTGAACAAAGACTTCACAGCTGTCCTTTTAAATATGTACAATGGACTAAGGGGAAGCACGTTTTAAAATAAAGGAAGGTATGATGATTCTTATCAAAAAGAGTATCAATAAAGACATACAATTATAAAAAAAGGAATCAAATGGAAACTTTGGAGTTGAAAATGCAGTAACTAAAGCGAAAAATCACCAGAGGAGCTTGGTAGTAGATATGAATAGAAGAATGAGAGAATTTGAAGAGAGATCTATATAGATTATGTAATCTGGAAAAAAAGAGAGATAGAGCATAAAGATGGAATGGAAAACCTCAGAGAAATGTGGGACACCATTATGTATACCAACATATGTGTAATGGGAGTACCAGAAGGAGAGAGGAAAAGGAGCCCCAAAATTACTTGAAGCAATTATAGCTGAAAACCCCAAATTTGCTGAACACATTAACCTACATATCCAAGTAATCAAACAGACTCCTAGTTGGATACACGGTCTAGAAAAAGATCTACATCATGATAAAAATGCTGAAAGCCAATAACAAGGAGAAACCTGGAAAGCACCAAGAGAAAAATGACTCATTGGCCTCCCATAAGCTAATGACTGTGGGGAGGCTTCCTTCCTCCTTCCCTGAATCCCTCAGATTGGCTCTTCCAGTGCTAACAAAGCACCAACTACTTCACCTTTTACAACTCATTTCACTTGTACTCAGGGTTGGCCACATAGTCTGTGGAGCCCAGTGCAAACATGAGGGATCCCTGTTTTAAACTTGTTAAGGAATTCAAGATGGTTAACAGAGCATTACCGTGAAGCTCAGGAACTTCTGGGCACTGAGCCCTGAGTGGCACAATTCGCTCGCCCATGAAGCTGGTCCTGGTTAGTTTCTCATTGAACGTCTTTCTTGCTAGATCTGAAGAACCATGAAGGCAAGGTCCACACGTGGTGTCTCTCTTGTTCACCACTAAATCCTTTAAGTCTTTCCCAGAGCCTACCTCAGTAGCCACTCAATGAGGCTGTCAGCCTAAGGAAGCTCAATTCATCTTAACCTGCTTTGTTTGGATGTAAAAACATAGCTAATGTTTCCTCTACTCTATGGTAACTATTATTTTTTTTTTTCATTTATAAAAGCTTCATCTTTCACTGTTGTTTAGCATGTTGGCCTTTTCAAAAGAGTATAGACAGCTTATGCCTAATTACTATACATTTATATTGCAGTTAAGTAATTCTATATTTATAGGCCCACTGAACAGAATATGCCATTTTTTTCTGAGTTGGCCTATTAGGTATGCATGTTTTGATACTTGTGGTTCCCTTTTATATTTACTTAAAAAGTTTCCCATTGCATTAACTGTTGGCTTTTTAAAAAAATTTATTTATTTAAATTCAGGTTAGTTAACATACAGTGTAGTATTGGTTTCAGTAAAACCCCGTGATTCATCTCTTACCTCTGACACCCAGTGTTCATCCCAGCAAGTGCCCTTCTTAATGCCCATCCCCCATTTAGTCCATCCCTCCACCCACTTTCCTTCCAGCAACCCTCAGTTTGTTCTTTGCGTTTAAGAGTCTCTTATGGTTTGTCTCTTTGTTTTGATCTTACTTTGCTTTTAGGTACACATACATTTCTAGGCTTCTGAACTTTTTGACGAAACATTACTATAGCTTTGGATTCCATTTACAAAGCTCACACTTCAGATGTCTACTCTGCACTATACATATGGTTACAATAGGTGTGAACAGGGACTAGATGCAGGTTGGGTCTTTGGAAATCTACTAAACTTCTCTGGGTCTATTTTATTCCTAATAGGGATACTACGACTTGCCTTACCAATTGTATTAAAGGTAATTACAGGAGGTGTCTCACATAGGCACCTAGGAGGGTCCTCACCACTTACATAGGCCACGGATGCCAAGTTTCTGTGCCTCTGGTGTGGCAGGGCAATGCTTGGATCTGTATGAGATGTTATCTGCTTCATACTCCACCCAAGCTCTCATTGCTTAGCGAGAATTACCAGATGCTTCATGGTTCTTCAAATTTTTCTGATTTAAGCATGTTAGTAATGAATATGCCTCATTAACCACAATCCTGCAGCATCAACGGAGATTCAGTTCATACACTAATTCCACATTGCGAAGGCATGCCTTCTGAAAAGCTGGAGTTGCAAGTTCTCACAATGAAATGCAACTCTTCAATGCATGTGTAAACCTAACATATTTTAAGTAGAATATTTCATTATACTTTAAAATTTTTTTTTTCAACGTTTATTTATTTTTGGGAGAGAGACAGAGCATGAACGTGAGAGGGGCAGAGAGAGAGGGAGACACAGAATCGGAAACAGGCTCCAGGCTCCGAGCCATCAGCCCAGAGCCTGATGCGGGGCTCGAACTCACGGACCTTGAGATCGTGACCTGGCTGAAGTCGGACGCTTAACCGACTGCGCCACCCAGGCGCCCCTCATTATACTTTTTAAAAAGTATTTAATCCCATTACTCACTTAGTGATCTTCAGATCAGTGAATTTAGCAGGTTAATATCTGGCTTTATTAAACATTGATGAGCCTTATTAATGTACTTTTCCTTATTAAATACAAAATAAGCCATTACAAACTATAGTCAAAATTATGAGATCAAAGCCACTGAGCAAGTAGACTAGCTATAAAAAAAAAGTTTATTAAAAAAATAGACAACATATGTAAACATCTTTTTCAGTCACAAGGCTTCATAATACAGCATTTCAGGCTCAGGCCTTAAATTTCTGCAGTGGGAGCACCTTAAATGTTGACTAATAGTAATCAGCTTAATTTCTCTTTCAATGAGCTATTAAGTCTATATGAAAATAAATAACCAGGTTCTGCTAAGTATAAAAAAGACACATACAGAAAATCGTAAATATACAACAGATCTCAGCAAAAACCCACTCTTTGCAGTAACGTGACATTAAATCCTCGTATCGCAATTATCTCTTTAACGTATCTTCACTTCTAAATTCATCGTGATGTAAAGTTGACTGCAATGAAGCTAGATGGGAGCAGGAACAGAGTAGAAGGAAAAGACAGGACACCTGCCACTGCCCTTCACCCCTTACTCTCTCTCTCTCTCTCTCACACACACACACACACACACACACACACACACACAAACGTGTGCACACACATAATGTTTTGGCAGAAGCAAAACTGAGAACAGAGTTTCTATGCTTTTTTTCATGTACTATTTCAGGCATGTATTTCCTTTACTTTTAGCTGGAAATTACATGCCCCCAAATGACTGACTACGAAGCAGCCAACCACAGTTTCAAATGTGATAAAGTCTTGAGGAAACCCGATTTTGATTACGTATTTCAACCACCTCCCAAAAGTGAAGCCAAATCATAGAATGGACCATAATACAACAAAATGTGGATAAACACCTGAGATTTTGCTGCAAGAATTTTAAACACAAGAATGTTTTCCTTGGGGTTGAATGCACTTAGATTATTATAATCCTTTCATGCTCTGTTGACCGTCTGCTGGGGCATACCTGCCAAGTGACTATGATGTTCCCAAATGGCCAAATACCATTTTCTTTTTTTCTGCTCCAGGTGGATATTTTATCACAGCTGATTTAAACTTCTGTCATTACAGTTACCGGGTAAACCCTGACCCAGGTAAAATTTTAAATGAAATATCAAGTGATGTTTGCAATTTAGTGTTTCATTGTATGCAAAATTTTAAGTATTTATTGTCATCCCAAATAGTCACATTCTAGTGATGGAAGGGAAGCATAATGAATGTACTAAAAGAAACCCAGACAAATATACAAGCTCCTGGATAGTCTTTTCTGTAGTTTAATAACTCAACAGTCTATTTGTATCATAGATGTAGTATTTTATAAAAGTGACTCCATTTAAAATCATTTAAAATCCTGATCTGCTACCCCAAATCCATTAAAAAACCCCTATCTGAAAATAATCTGTATTTGTCATTTGTACCATTATCAGCTTATCTTTTGATGTCAATCTACCATTTATCCACAACTACTGAAACATGAAATAACTATGCAATACTTAAATTCTAACAATGCTGCTTGCTGTTTCTTCTGACTATACTGGGGGTTATCAGAATAATCAGATATTTAAACAGAAAAATAAAATTAAGTGACAGGACTGTTTCTGACACGTGATATACAAGTCACCACTTAATTTTTAAAAATCCTACTACAAAACGGAAAAGCTTTACACTCTGGACACCAACTACGTGGTGACTGATGGAAGAAGAAACTTTTCTACCATAAGAGCTACAGCTTGGCCTCGCTCAGGTGGACATCATGTGGTCCTAGCCAAATGCCAATGACTGACCTTTTAAAAATCTGTCTTGGGGTTCTAATGGATAAGAAATTTTTTAAAGTTACATTCTGTACAACGTTTGCAAGTTACATTCAGTTAAGTTTTCAAAGAGAGAAATATTGCATAATTTATGTGAGATCTGGGCAGATCTATACATTACAAGCCTACGTTGAGTTCAGGGGATTTCATTGGGACCCTCTGTCTATTCCAGTCTTCAATATATCTCTTTAAATAGATACCTTTACTTACTAATACACATTATTCCTGTTGTTTTGTTGCACAAATAACAAGAAAGAGATGAAAAAGAGCAAAAAGAGAAGGCAAACAGGAAGAAAATGAAGGAGAAGGGACAAAAAGGGTACACTTCATTACAATTTGGGTGTTATAGACAAGGATATACATGAGGACAGAGAAAGCATTAAAATTATGCTCAAGGTAACTCTGCCCAGCATAGTTTTACATTGTTGCACATTTCTTGTTTTATTTGTGTGTGTGTGTGTGTGTGTGTGTGTGTGCGTGTGTGTGTGTGTGTGTTTCAGGTTACTAGGTAAGAATCCAGTGGGGAAAAAATGATACATACCGCTAAGAGCAATCACATATATTTTTCTGCAAAGGTTGACATCCATTACTACTTTTAGTAACATGGCCACAGCTTTTGAAAACACAGCAGCATGAAACAGTTCAAAGGTAGACACATTGTTTTAATTTGTTCACCTTAAAAAAAAAAAAAGGCTCAAACAAAGTAAGGCACTTAAGACAGAAATTCTTTCTCCAGTTGATATATGGATGGTCGGCTAGTTCTGCTCTTCATCCTGCACAAAGGCACCGTGCAGTCCCTGCTTTGGCCTTCGGCATCTGCGTCCAGTAGGGAAGGCACATGGGGTTTAGTTCTCTCCTGGGCAACGAGGGAACAGTTAGCAGTGGGTCCCGGACCACGCATGGCAGAGTCGGCCCCTGTGGGCTGAGACTCTGTTCGGCTCCTGGAGGAGGGAGGGCGAGGCAGAGGCATGATGCTGACCGCTCTTTGTTTTTCAGGCAGGGCCTCCTTTGGCAGGTTACCGTGAGGCCCATGTGAGAGGTGAGGGATCCCCAGAACCCGCTCAGGTGGCAGGTAAGAGGCTCCGGGGGCTGGTAGGAGAGTTGTCCCAGCTGCTTGAGAAAGCAGAGACAGTGCACAATCAGAGGGACAGTGACTTCTAAAACAAGCAACACCCAGCCCAATAACCAGGAGGGCACATGGATTCGGTAATCACTTTCAAGTGAGCAGTAACAAAAAACCCTGGACATAAACCTTTTAGAAGGACTGGGATACAATGTTTGTTTGTTTATGAAAAAGCCCTGCCAGATTGTAAAGAGTGTTTCTACCAAGGAAACTCGACCCATAAACACAGCCACATCACTGTCACAGCACTGTGGTCAATCATTGCAACTGTTTCATAAACAGGAGAGGCTTCAAGATGGAGAAGACTAGAATAGACGTTTGTTTTTTTGTGTGTGTGTGTTTTTAAATTATGGTTAATATGATGAACTTTCACTTTCAGATTATGATCTGAAAAAATGGATGACAACTGGGAGGCAGTTAGGTCCTACATGCTGGCCCTTCTCTTTCTTGTTCTGCACAACTGACTCATTACCACTCCAGCGAATAATTATTGGCTTATAATTAAAAGAAAAAGAATGCTTTCTCATGGGATTATTGTCCTAGGATTTCCCCTTGTGCAATTACAAACTACTAATACTCTACTGCATTACAGAAGGGCAATAAATGTATCTAAAGACAATGGACAATAAGCTGAAAAAAAAATCATGTCGGGGGTATAGTCCTTAAAAGAGCAGAGGAAAAGAAAAAGAATGAAAACCATTTCAGTTTTAATAAACTTTATAACTAACCATACCATAACTTTTTACAACCTAAAGGGCATTTTTCATACACATGACCTCGCTTAGTACTCAAGACATATGTTTGTAATTATCTTTACATACAAAAGAAGCACAGCATGCTGTGCACCGTTTGACTCTTACCCTTGCTAAATTCAACCTGGTCGTCAACTGAGCAGTGAAGCCGGGGGACGCAGAAGAACACGTATCACAGGGGAGGCTGGGTGATCAGTTATGGGGTTCCAGCTCTCCCACTAATTACTGGTTCAGATCTGGGCAAATGACCTGTCCTCTATACTGTGAGGAGCTGGGGCAGTTATTCTCTACATGTTTGCTTGGTTTTAATTTGCTATTATATATATACGTTGCTGAAATCCAATCATGCTTTTCCTAGAATTCAAATGATAAAGTCAAACAAAAGAGGAGGGTAAAATTCAAAGATCTGTATTCACTGTGCAAATAAACTTGTAAGTGTAGCCACTTGGAAGATATACAATCAGATATCCAAGCGATTTGACATTCTAATCTCAACAGTGGTGTTCTGTACTTTGACCCAGCTAATGCAACCTACCTGGGGTCTGAGAAGCGTTTCCATCAGACAGGGTGCGTCTGTGATGCAATGCTTGTTCTTTCAAAGAAGGGTAATAAGGCACATTCCCACATGTCGGCTCTAAGAAAGGAGGAGGCAGGTTTTTCCACATCCTCTGATCAGTCTTGAGTCTTGGCGTGGAGGGCGGTCTGTGACTCCCTCCCCCGACGGCAGGGCAGAAATCTGGAGCGGGCATCTCAGGGTCACAGGTGATGTGGGTGCTGCCCTCAGATGCATCTTCACTGTCGGTCTGGAGCAAGCACTTCGTGGAGAGAGAGGGCATGGACAGAAGGCTCAGGGCGCTTGCTGGAGGGAAGACAGGTGGGTTGCCGGCCCCCTCGCCTGTAGACGGTGGCCTTGTAGAAGGACTTGCACTGCCTCGGGACTTGGGAGCCCGCTGGAAGATTCCCTCGCGTTTCTTCCTTTCTTCTTTGGGCAATGGTTCCTCAGCAGCCTGTGTTTTATTGAGCTCTCTGATATCCAGCCCCAGAGCCACGGATGCCAGCAGCATGGTGCAGCCATACAGGGCAGACTCTGTCTTCTTTCTCTGGGGGGATCTGCTCAGGCTATTCGTAGGGGTCACCTGAGGAGTGACAGCAGCAGGGTTCGTGGAGAATCCCTCCTCCCAGCTTCCAGGTTCCACTGGATTCTCTCTCTGGCCATCTTTCCAAAGAGGTAGATCCACATAGGCTTGACTAGGTGATTTTATTTGCTTTGGTTTTCTGTGTTCTGATCCGTCCAGGGAAAGTTTTGGCTCTTCAGAAACACCTAAATAAAGATATAAATAAATATACAGGGTAAGTACAATTTACAGTAAAAATTATTTAAACGATACTATAAAATAAAGCTAAAATCTAATAAATATTCTAAGTCCAAGCACATGGAGTCTTTTCCGTTGAGCAAACAGTTCATCCAGAAGGACCCTAAGGAAAGGGAGCCGGGGACACAGAACTCAAGGTTCCCCAGCAAGCACATCACCTGCTGTTCCTTATCCTTCAGGAAATGGCTCTTTGTTGGCACGGAAAATAAAATTAGTATAGAAAAAAGTCATCAAGATACAGAAATGCACACACATATACATGGGCACTGTAATGTATCAGACACAGCGTGCCCTTTGCCTCCTCTGAACGTGTCCGGCCCCGTCATCCATGGCTCACCTGTGTGTACAAGAACCACTAGGCCCTAGGGGCGCCTGGGTGGCGCAGTCGGTTAAGCGTCCGACTTCAGCCAGGTCACGATCTCGCGGTCCGTGAGTTCGAGCCCCGTGTCGGGCTCTGGGCTGATGGCTCAGAGCCTGGAGCCTGTTTCCGATTCTGTGTCTCCCTCTCTCTCTGCCCCTCCCCCGTTCATGCTCTGTCTCTCTCTGTCCCAAAAATAAATAAACGTTGAAAAAAAAAGAACCACTAGGCCACAGATCAGGGTGGAAACTGGAAACCTGCAAAAATGTGAACTCTGACCCACTCCAGACTCGGGAACCAGAAATTCTAAGGCTGACACCCAGGGGTCTGTGTTTTAACACGACTTTACTCAAGTTTGGGAGCCACTGGAACAGAGGAAGTTTCTCCGGAAGAGGTCCCACAGGGTAACAAATTGTTATCAGCTGAAGAGGAAGCGGTAATTGTTATTACTTGGGTGCTTAACAATGAATCAGCCAAGCGACAAACTCCTTAATCCACATTCAGAGCAATCCACAAAGAGGCTCCAGTGACTTTTCCAATATTATGTCCTATTATTCTTGCAACATGCTCTATATAGTCCAGACAAGTCAAGAGGCTAGCTTCTCCCAGTGATCCGGTGGTGCTCTTTCTATCACTGCCTTGCCTTCAGACAGCCTTCTTCCTCCGTCTGGCTTCCTTCCACATTCTACCACTGGCCCCAAGTTCCCGCTCACCTCAGAAAGCCCTCTCTCAAAGTACCACCTGATGCTAATGCAGCCTGACACGGCCCATGCCCCCCCAACGTTCAGTCTCGGCTCCCTCCCCCACCCCACATCTTACAGTTTCTGTACTTTTAGATCACAATCTGATGTGCATGCAAGCTGGTAAGCTTCTGACCACCTGTCTTTTTAAATTTGGAGGAGTCTTCCCTGAATAATACCTTCATCAACTAGGCACGAAATGCATTTGGGCGAAACGAATATGTATTACATATATGCACAGTACATGTAACGGATAGCAAATGATCAACCCACAGTTTACAAAACAAGAGTGGGGGATGATACTGACAAGTGAAATGCATTGATTTAAAACTATACTGAGCGGGGCACCTGGGTGGTTCAGTTGGTTAAGCGTCCGCCTTCAGCTCAGGTCATGATCTTGCAGTTTGTGGGTTCGAGACCCGCATCAGGCTCTGTGCTGACAGCTTGGAGCCTGGAGCCTGCTTTGGATTCTGTGTATTCCTCTCTCTCTGACCCTCCCCTGATCACGCTCTGTCTCTTTCTCTCTCTCGCACGCACGTGCGCGCTCTCAAAAATGAAATAAAACATTAAAAAAAAGTATATTGAGAATTTCCTAATGTGTGTTCATGTGTACCTTTCCTGATAAGTAAAACATACTTTCCCCTGATGTGGTCATGAACTTATACTGGTTCATCGTAATCTTCCCTTCTTATGACTGATGACAAGTATCTGTAGTCCCCAAACCAAGGTAAATATCTACCTAAGATCAAAATGTCCTTTTAGGGTTCATTTAGGCATTGGATAGATGGTGAATGCTTGGTGTGTTCCAGGCATTGGGAGTGGTGAACAAAACTGATGAATTCAGTGCCATTCTAGTTTGGGAGTGAAACAGAACAGAAAAATTGTGGGCATCAAATGTAGACAAGTAAGAATTTCAGATAAGAGCTATGGATAAATAAGAATGGGTAATGAGACACCAGGATGGGGTGAGATGCTATTTCAGCACAGCTGGAAGCAAAAGCTTTCAGGAAACATCTGAGCTGAGACACAAATGCTCAGAAGGACAGGACCACACAGAGGGGTGGTGGTGGGGGGCACAGATAGGACAGACAAGTGTAAGCCTTCTGTTCAATAACCCTTCATGTGAAGGGTGCTCTGGGTGGCTCGGTCGGTTGAGCATCCGACTTCAGCTCAGGTCATGATCTTGCAGTTTGTGGGTTCGAGCCCCGTGTCGGACTCTGTGCTGACAGCTCGGAGCCTGGAGCCTGCTTCAGATTCTGTGTCTCCCTCTCTCTCTGCCCCTCCCCCACTCACGCTTTGTCTCTCTCTGTCTTTCAAAAATAAATAAACATTGAAAAAAATTTTTTTTTAAGTTTGAGAGGTAGGAAAATTGTTAGAGAGCCTTCAGGGACTGTTATCACTAAAGAAAAGAAAATTGATCTTTCTACCTGACAATCTAAGACAGCCCTTTGATGCTATAACCAAGTTAAAGCTGTTTCAGGAGAACACGGTGGTAAATTTCTTGAATTTATTATCCATGCTGTGCTTAATTTTATAAGCAACTTATCACTCACCGCCCATGTTCAATCTTCCTCTTTTGCACTGTCATGAGGATGTGGTTTCAGCATAAATATCTGCACAAGTATATTTGGGTATATGCAGGACAGATGTTCTGTCATTCCTGCATAAATGCTTCCTAGTCAGGTTCATGATTGTATTCTGACTCTTGCTGTAAGGGCAACAGGTTCTCCTCTTATTACACATTATGACTTATTGTCAAATACAGTTTGAGGACCAAGGAAGAACAATTAATTGTAATAAAACTGTTATTCCTATAGTATATTTTTCATTATTTGTGACTAAATAGATTAGAGAAGTCTTCCCTTTTTTTCTTAATTCTTTTATTTACCTACCTACTTATTTATTTATTTATTTATTTATTTATTTATTTATTTATGGAATGTTTTGACCCTCTTTTTTTTAAAAAAAATTTTTTTTTTCAACATTTATTTATTTTTGGGACAGAGAGAGACAGAGCATGAACGGGCGAGGGGCAGAGAGAGAGGGAGACACAGAATCGGAAACAGGCTCCAGGCTCTGAGCCATCAGGCCAGAGCCCGACGCAGGGCTCGAGCTCACGGACCGTGAGATCGTGACCTGGTTGAAGTCGGACGCTTAACCGACTGCGCCACCCAGGCGCCCCTGTTTTGACCCTCTTAATAAGTCCTCCAAAGGACTGGTGGAGAAAATACAAGGATATATTTGGCTGACTCCACTCAGTCTCTGTTAAGCTACCTCTTGAAGTTCACGTGAAGGGTTATTTTTTTTTATTTAAAAAAAAATTTTTTTTACATTTATTTATTTTTTAGAGACAGAGCACAAATGGGGGAGGGGCAGAGAGAGAAGGAGACACAGAATCTGAAGCAGGCTCCAGGCCCCGAGCTGTCAGCACAGAGCCCGATGTGGGGACTCAAACCCATGAACCGCGAGATCATGCCCTGAGACCAAGTCGGCGCTTAACCAACTGAGCCACCCAGGCGCCCCTCTCTTAAACTTTTTAATATCTGAATTTTGAACAGGCATACTAAATACTGAAAATAATCATGATTCCCTTCAGTTAAATAGAGATTGCAATGCAATTCTCTCTAAGCAGTACTTTTCCACAGATAACCTGCTTGGTAAGATTTCATCATGTCAAGAGGTGGAGATACAGGCAGGAGATCACCCCTTAATCTCAGCAGAATTTCAGCATGTCTATATTTTCATATATACTATATCCTATACGAAATTAATTTGAGTCTACAGAATTAATTAGGATACCACTTTTTTCTGGTAAACAACAAGAGTTACAAATTCCCAATAAACAATGTGGAGCCTCATTACTTTTCACCAAAAAGACTTCTAGGACAGAAAATAATTTATGAGTTTAAGTAAAGGTATACATAAGCAATGCTACTACTTGCTAACTTTCCCTATGCTACTTGAACGACCACATGGAACTATTAAAGCAGAGCTTCTAGAACATTCAGATGGGAAGTCTACCTCAAACAAATTCCATTTCCTGAAGCACATTTACCTGGCTGGTCCACAAATAACGAAGCCAACGGCATGGTTTTCTGATTCTTTAGTAAGAGAGTTGACCAAGGACTGTTGCCGTCTGAGAGAGGTCTTATTCTAAAGGAGAATGTAACAGAAACAAAATTAGGTTTTGATAGATATATGCTGACAAAATTTTTAAGTAGGAAACAGCACATTTGTAGTGTTTTGAAGGGCTAACAATGTACGAATAAAACCTTGAAATGGGACATAAAGTACATCGGAAATTTTTTTTTAACTGCATAACTAAATAGTAACTAATTTAGTAGGATAAACTCATCCAGGAAATTAAATTAATATTGGGTAGCTCTGTATTTTTCCAACTGCTTTTTGAAAGTGAAGTCTGGCCAAAGTGGTGTTACAAAAGGCACTGTATCTGTCATGGTATATATACGCTGAAGTACGGGGGGGGGGGGCCCCCACCACGATATCACACACATACCTTTCTTTGCACTCAGTTCTTTCTTTCATTTGAATTGAATTTGGTCCCCAGGTACAACCTTTTTTCTTGAAACTCCTTTTCACATCTTCAAACTCTTCTTGTCGACAGACAGTGTTCCTTCCCCAAGTTTTGTTGCTTTCATCCGAAGTCACTAGGCAGAGAGCATCACTCGTTTACCAATTAAAAAAAACTTAAGCCAATCAAACCAGTTGTACAGCTACCTTATGCAAAGCATGTTGGCAGTGGAGAAACATGAAAATGATAAAAATTATTTCTTTCAGCCCACTGACAGCAAACTTCCTTCTCTTAGCATAAAATTAGGGGGAAAAAAAAGTGAAATGAGTTAAAGAAAAGACAGGCTGAACTTAAGGAAAGAAAGTATATATTTTTAAATTGCAATTTAATCCCATTTTCATAAGTCATTGCTGCTTTACTCTGGCCATCACGACAGCTTGGCTACAGTTGCCTTTTAAACCTCAGACTGGTTTTTAAATTAAAAAAAAAATTTTTTTTAATCTTTATTCATTTTTGAGGGAGAGACAGAGCACGAGCAGGGGAGGGGCAGAGAGAGGGAGAGAGAGAATTTGAAACAGGCTACAGGCTCTGAGCTGTCAGCACAGAGCCTGATGTGGGGCTGGAACTCCTGAACCACGAGATCATGACCTGAGCCGAAGTTGGACGCTTAACCAACTGAACCACACAGGCACCCCAAAATCTCAGATTAACAGTTGCCCCGTCTTGCTTTTTTTCATGGCCTCACAGGGAGGTTTGTAGCCACATTTAATATCCACATTTTGCTGACACACTTCCATGCTATCCCTCTAGCCTTGAAGTGCACTTGCAACTGACTTGGAAACCACTGGGGGAAATGGTTGCTGTGACTGCACACTTGGGAAAACAATTCTGTAAGTAGATGTTTGAAAGCACAAAAGATGTTTTAAAGCATTATGACCTGTCTACAGAGTGGAATACTCTACGACCATAAAAAAAAAAAATGAGGTTCAGGGGCACCTGGGTAGCTCAGTTGGTTGAGCTCTGAACTCTTGATTTTGGCTCAGGTCATGATCCCAGGTTCATGGGGTCAAACCCCATGTTGGGCTCTGGGATGAGCTTGAAGCCTGCTTAAGATTCTGTCTCTCTCCTCTTCTGCCCCTTTCCCCTACTTGCACTCTCTCTGTGTAAAAAAATGAGGTTCAGATAAAATTAATTATAATGTCTGTATTAAATATATAGAACCTATTTTATTGTTTTATTGTTTTATTTTTAAAATTTTTTTTACATTTATTTATTTGTGAGAGACAGAGAGAGACAGCATGAGAAGGGGAGGGGCAGAGAGAGAGGGAGAGACAGAATCAGAAGCAGGGTCCAGGCTCCAAGCTGTCAGCACAGAGCCTGACGCAGGGCTCGAACTCATGAACCATGAGATTGTGACCTGAGCCGAAGTCGGACGCTTAACTGACTGAGCCACCCAGGCGCCCCAGAACCGATTTTATTAAAAAGTATTTATGCATATGTGCCTATAAACACACATTATACTGAGAAGTTAATAAACATAGGTATCAA